GGAGAGGAGTCATTTAAAAATCATGATATCTTTAAATGTTAATCCTTCTAGAAAAATATTCACTATTAAAAACAGCAAGTGTTTTACCCATCCTTGTATATAATGAAGTCAACTGAGAGATGAATGGATGTTCTGACTTTCACTGTGGGAAATATTTTTCTTGTGAAAATCCTTTCCTTCTCATTGAACTGGTCTTTTCTTGGAAATATCCTGAATGTAACTCCGTTATAATTGATTAATGAAACAGAGTAGCAACGGACATTACAAATTAACTTAATTTGCAGACAACTGAGGTTAAGGTTAAAATAAAACCTCAGACCTAATAGCTTTGAAACCACAAATCTTAAAGAAATCTCTGTGTACATAAGGTACATGCATATATACAATAAAACTTTCATATCTTCTTTACATAGTGCAGATTACATCGTGTCTAGAGTCCACCATAAATGTAAACATTTATTGGCTGTATAATAAAATTTCTTCCTTTTCTCTCCACAAATCTTGTGTTTTCTGTCGAGCTGTCTGTTACCAAGGTGGAGTCCAGTTCAAAATACTCTCTCTCCTCTTGTCTGAGGAATTTAAACTTTTTATCCTAACTTATTGCCACTATTATCTTTACAGCAGACAAGGACTAAACAACACCTCTGCTGAGCACTGGGAAAGTTCTGATACTGGTCTCTATGGAGAATTTGTGCTGATATATTTCTGTACCTAAACAAAAGGAAAAAGACCAGAGGAGGGAATATTTGTTTTTGGCATACATCATAACTCTCTCCTTTTTGCTTCCTGCACTGCTTCTGCAGCTTGCCTCTCACTTAGGTGCAGGATGGTTGCTTGGACCTATGCATAGCTTGTGTATATCCTCCTAAATACCTTGTCATATCTGTTTATATTTCTTCAGTTTTGGGGAAGCCTACAACAGGCCTTCATAATCAACCAACACAACACCCTTACAGCATATGGCAGCCATTTGGACTGCTTACTGGCTACAACCAAGGCCACTTAAGGCCAGGACTGGCCTGAGTTTCCTGAAGGATTCAAATAGAAGTGACCAGCAGGATGTGGTTGGTGCAGAGAGAGGTCACTCACACAAAACATCCTGCTGGAAGTATGTCGAAGCCCTTCTTATTGCCACAGAGCTTTCTATCATGTAATCTTTGGTGTTAAAGCTTGTGCAGAACCCTCAATCAGGAGTAAAGGCAGGAGGATTTGTAGGCAGACAAATCCGGAGGCTATCCAACTGGGACTGGGAATGTGTCTACAGCATTAGCTGAGCAGACGTCGACCAATCTGCACTGTTACCACGTAGCTCCTCGTGACTGTAAGCATTACAAAAGAAGGGTCTTGCAAGTCTGATTGATGAGCTGCCTGATACACAGCCACTGTGAAATTTTAACCATCACAACTTTGAACAGTTTAGTAATCACTACTACAGTAGTTTTAAGTTTAAATACAAGGATCCTAAGGCTAAAACGTAGCACAAGACTGTGAAAGTAAAAAATAAACATGAAAATTAACGTTTCTCTCTTTTCTCTTTGCAACAGACAGAATGTGCCAATTTTATTAGGGTCCTTCAGCCCTACAACCGAACGCATGTTTATGTCTGTGGCACAGGAGCATTTCACCCTCTCTGTGGATACATTGAACTTGGCACTCACAAAGAGGTAATTTAATTTTCTCACTACTCTGATACGTCAAGGGGTAACCTTTGTCTAGCATTCATTATAGATTGGAAAATACCATGCGAGTGTGTAAAAAATGAACTGACAGCAGCTTGCGTAAATAACAGAGTAAATGGTGGATTTTGCAGGTCAGACAGGAACTTGTGTTCTCACATTCGATATGTGCATATCGCTTTTGAACAAAGCACTTTCCTTGGTAAGGCTTAATACAGAGAGTTCGTCAGAATGACACTTCCACATGATTAAGTAAGTGAGGAGCACATTTAACCCAGATGTCCTTCTTTCTTGTAAGTCATTTCCGCATATACTTTCTGCTTACATACACACACACACAGAGTTCAAGATGACATTAGTTGTTCTATCTATTAATGTACACATATCTCCTGTTCCTCAGGGATGGCTTCCTATTCCTTGTGCACAAGAATAATTCAGAGTTTGTAAATGGTCTCTAACTCTAAGCTGAAGGGTGGCATCTCAGGCCTTTGCAGATGGTTTGCAGCCCTGTCGTTAAGTGCTGGGTGTCCTTGGACACTAGTGTTGAATTCCTGCATTGAAGTTAGCAGCTGATTGGTCTTCATTTGCTGGTGACAAAGAAATCTCCATCCTAAGTGGTAAATGTTTGAGATGTAACCCCCACAACAGAAGCATTTTGGTGTTGTGTCAAGCAGCCACTTAGTACACAAGTCTCTTTTTAACTCCTATATGTATAACACTTTGGTTATATTTATAACATTGGCTCTGCTCTTAGACAGTGTCTGGTGACCTGTCTGATTATTTGCCTGTACTGAAGGCTTCTTGCACTGCTGTAGAAATAGCTTTCCCTTTTCTTTGGATCTAAGTGAAATTATAGAATATAAAAAGTGAGTTGTAATGATATGTTATTAAATGCAATAACCTCAAATATGTATGTATTGGATTTATGCTGATGTACAAAATCAATGGCAAATGCTTACAGAAGAGAAAAGAAAGGGGAGGGCGGGAGGCGGTGGAGGCAGGGGAGAGGGAGAGGATAAAGGTTTTATTAACTCTTGTCCTATGTGGGACCCATGCAATCTGTGAGTTGGTTGACCAGAGGATGCTGAAGTTAAAGAGCTTCCTGAAATATGCATGATGGTACTCTTTCCTTAATAAGCTGTTAATACTCCTGATACTGTTTGGAACAGGCTGTACAGTTGGGCTTGCAAAGAAACAACTTAGTCTTCTTTGCTTCATTTCTTTGATTACTACAGTTGAAACAACTGAAGCTTTACATCTTTTGTATCATGCTCATTCCTCAGCTTGAATGATTAAGTCCACAGATGAACTGAGCAGAACAACTCTCAGCAAGAGTGTAAGGTTCTGGTTTACCTCTTGGTCATTAGTGAGCTCTCCCATTGTAACTTCATTTGTGACGGTTGTTCTCATCAGACATTATAAAATTATGGATTTCGCCTGATTGTTCAGCCTGGCAGTCAATCTAGACAAGGGGGTCTGTCTCAGTTAGATATGACCAATTACCTTATGAGAGGAAATGGAAGAAGAAACCTCATATTGTATTTCCTAATCCCCTAACTGTCTCCCAGTTCTGCCTGTCCTGCACTCACTGGTTGCTCAGCTGCAGCGGTGAGCTGTTCAGTGTTCATCACTACTCACAACTCTTCTGCTGGTGCATCTTTTCTGCAACATCCTACTGAAACAGTGACTTTGAATGGCATCAGATGTGTTTTCCCTTTCCTCCTTGGATTCCAAACACCAATATAGCCACTGCCTGTCCAGATAAATGTAACATAGCAGGAGAGTCCTGAGTCCTCTTTTCTTGAAACCCACTGACTTGAATTTGAAAGGCAGGTGGAGAAGTCTCCTGGTTGTAGGAACTGAAGCCGGAAATCCTGTGTGGAAATTCAAAGATCTCCTGTTGCAGATCTGTTATTTTAGATTTTTTTAAGCTCTGATTTGTAAGAATGGATAATGGATTTTTGGTAATTAGCAACCTCTCTAGGAAGCTGTGGGATGCTTGGGAGAGCCAGAGCCTGAGATAGTCTCACAGGGCTTTGAAAGCAGGCAGCACCCTGCTGACCTCTGAAAGCTGCTGGAGGATCTGCCCAGTACCGTGCTGGTTGCTGCCAATGCTGCAGAAGCAGACAGGAAAGGAGTGTGGATCAGGTGACTCAAAACCGCAGCTCACACTGCTTTTGTAGCCATAGAAATCTCTTACAGGATCACACAATTAAAGGGGATTAAAGTCCTAGCCTCGCTAGTGCTGAAGTCACTGCCAAAACTTCTCTTGGCTGGTGAAGAAGAGGCTTGGCCCAGCTGGTGCTCTTAGCCACAGGTCTCCAAGGGATGCTCTTTTCTTTGAAATCTTTGTCCAGACTGAAAGCAGGAGGTTAACTGTGTGAATATGTGGTTGTGTCCATTAATTGGTCTGGTTGAAGTCTGGAGTGTTTGATGGTGGTCTACAGAGTCCTCAGTCTCTTGAGTATTCCTGGACATAGGAACAGCTTCTTGGCATGTGTTATACCACAAAGGTTCTCTGAGCAGATCAGGGCTGCATTTCTTAGAAGAAATGAGAATGGGACAACAATATTCTATTGTCAGTAAAACAATGCTGAGTTTTTAATTTAGTGTTGTCCTTATGAACCCATCTAAGTAGCCTGAGAATTTGGTTTACCCGATATCTCAGATGTTTGAGAGGATAACAAGAGTTCTTGCCTAACTATTAAATTCTGCTTCATAGCAACCAGAATTGCTGCAGGAAATTGAATTTATCTCCACTGATTGGAATTGATTTTTTTTTTTTTTCCTCTTAAGCAAGGATCTTAATTATTCAGTATTCTAGCCTCTTGTCTTCTGAGTCTATGGGGTTTAGAAGACATCTCAATGAAATAGCAATGTTTGGTTATTTATAGTCTGGTGTATGCTTAGCATAAATTGAATAATCGTGTTGTGAAGTCTAATTCTATGTGAATCTCTTTGGACATAGCTGTCATTTGCACTCTTCAGTTCTCTTGCAAGGCAAAGTTATAGAAACAATTCACTATAGAAACAAAGTCACTTCACCCTCTTTTACATAATGTTTTAAATCATAGATATTTCTTTTTAACTAACTTCAAAAGCTGTGCCTCTGCAGTAAACATTAAACCAATAATGATTTGATGCCTGAGTGCCAGTGGGATTCTGAATGCCACTTTCCATGGGAGAGTACATTAACAACACCTCTGCAGGAAGTCTCCCTTCCCTAATGGCAACATTCTTAAAATAATCTCTCTGTACCTACTAAGACTTTACTCATCCTAATAACCAATTTGCCTTCAGAAGGATACACTGTGGGTTTCAGTTACGTGTGCTTTCAGAAAACTGATGAAAGGAATATGTGAAAATGTCCACTTGGGCTGTTCCAAACTAATAAAACTTCAAAGTAGTGCTTACAAAAATTGAATTAAAAAATGCAAAATTGCCCACTGAAATCATAAGGAATGACTTTTAAGTAATTTATTTCCTTTATCTTCCTCTGTACCCTTGTTCTGTGACCCAAGCAGTGATGGCTGTATTTGAGAACTACAAGGAGGGATTTATTCTAATATCTCTTGTATCGTTAGCCTTGTTAAAAATAACAAGAGAGAGCATATGCTGCTCCTATTTAAAGGGACTGAACTGTGTCTGCCATGAACATTATTCAGCAATCCCTGGAGAAATTTAGGAGTCAGCCAGAATCCTTTCTGAGTCTCCTGTTGCAACATAGTCTATCAGCACTTTCCCAAATAGACACTAGTGCCTTTTAAGCACAATCCAGCCTTTACTTTGAATTGAAATGAACAATGCATCTTTTTTTCTTCCTGAAAATTATTATATTTTTTCAAGATTTATTTTTCACTATAGAGTGAGCAAGATACGTAAAAATGATGAGTGAAAAAAAAAATAAATAAATAAATAAAAAATCCAGATGTAAAACAGGAGCGTGAACTGTAAAGATCAACTCTAAAATGACAGCTGTGTGATCTGATACACCTCAACTTCATCTGTTAGCAAAGCAGTTTGTCTGAGTGAGTTTTTCCCTGCAGCCACACCGGGATAATGAATATGTGTTTATTCTCAGGAAACAATATTCAGGCTGGATACTCAGAACTTGGAGTCGGGCAGGTTGAAATGTCCTTTTGATCCTCAGCAGCCATTTGCATCAGTGATGGCAGGTAAGAAACCATCAGAGCAGTTACTGGGGTCAGAGGCTCAGCATATGTCACCAGCAGAGCTGCTCTGACACTGCTTGTGCTTCTGATGCTGGTTTGTGTTCTGGGACCTGGGGGAACCCTTCAGTCTGCTGACACCAAAAGTTGGAAACACATCAACAAAAGCAGAAAAACCTGAGTGACTGTGAAGTCTCTGCCAGCTGAGCAGGGTTTCATCCTCACCCAGTCATTTCTCCTTTAGCAACAAAAGAAGACAAACCAACACATGGACAGACAAAGTTTCAAGTGCTTCTAGGGCTCTTTCTGCAATTATCAATATGTTCTGCCCTTTGAAGTCTGCTGACATCTGCTATTTCCATAAATACATTTTTGAGGCTTCTATTTACTTGAGTAGCCACTTCTGAAGCTGGAAGCCTAGGAACAAGATAGCGCAATCTGCCTGCTGTGTGCATCGCAGCACTGTGTGGTCTGACATTTGGTACCGAGGAATGTCAGCTTGACCTCCGGATTTCAAACCACTATGAGAGCCACTTTTGTCATGGTTTGGTTCATAGCTTTGGACAATTTTCATTTAACTTGTCCGTCAAGCCTATGAATACAAGATAAGAGTGAAGCACCATGACGTTTTCATTTACAACCAAAGAGCAGTGGTGACAATGCTTTGAAGTATTGGTCACTGTGTTATAAAAAGAATATGACTAATGTTCAGTCTTTCTTCTCTGATAATAAGATAGATGATTTGTGATTCTGACCCAACAGATGGGGCAGGACTTCCTTTATTAAAAACAATAGATTAAAGTCAGTGCTTATTCTTTTCAGGGACCCCTAGTACTACTTAATGACTGTGAAGTCTATTTTTAAAATGGAATTCTAGAAACTTTATTCTTTTTTTTTTGTCTTAATGCAGTATAGCTCTGTGATTTATTATAGTGTTGGCTAATTCCAGTAGCACACTAGTGCATTGACTTCTCTATTAAGTCTTGGGACATGAAGAAGCTGCTATGCTTTGCTAACTAAAACATAATCTTCAGTATGTAAGAATTTTCAGGCTAGATAAAATTGGTAATTGGGTTGTTTTAACATCCCTTCCTGCACTATGCCTGGTATCAAGTGCTTCACTATACTGTACAAGGAGCACTGTAAAGAGTTACAGGCCTGACCAGAGAATGTATTCTTGACCTATCTTTGGATGATTGCTTTATTTCCTAAAGAGCAGTGTAACTCATGGATAGGATATTGCACTGGGACTCAGGGGAGCTCAGTTCCCATCTCTGTACTGGCAAGAGGAATAGCCTTCGTAGTGTTTCTCTCTACCTGCTTTTATTTATCTGCAAAATAGCAATAAATATTACTTGCATCCTTCAGAAAGCATTTATAATCAGGTATAAATATGAGCTTAATATTGCCCTATATTTCCATTCCTGTAAGTGGTTAATGCAAGTGTTTTCATTCTTTGTAGAAATATCTAATCTGTCTTTGAATTCTACACAGCCTTTTTCCCCAAGTAAAATACAATGCTATATTCTATGCCGTTGGAAAACCCAGGCTTTCTAACTGAAAAATCACCTGTTTGTCATCCATCTTCTGTTATAAATTACCGCTCACCAAAACCATTCTGGAAATAACTGGAACATGGACTGGGAGATATCAAAAGCCATGAGAAGTGCTGAAAGCACCTTGTCAGCAGAGCCTGGGCAAGGATGGGCATTTTCTGTTAGTCCTTTGGATTTATCGATCACTGAGTGCCTGTCAGTTAGCAAACACCAATTACTCTGCCCATTCTTCATTATGACAAATGCTATTCTGAACGCACTATTGTTCCTTCACAAAGGCGACATGCTGTCTGAAAGATGTGCTTTCCAGTACTGTCATGGAAATAATACATAAGTAACAGTAATAATGAAGCAAAAAGAAAGCTGACGGATCTTTTTTGTGGGTCAGTGGTTGTGGTTTTTTGCTTAGTTTTGTTTTCTTTTTGTCTTATTTTTTAAGCATGTTTAGATCTTTTGCAAATGAAACCACACAATATTTATGATTTATATTGAATGGTATTTATTCAGAGTTCACTCTCAACAAAGGACTTCTCACTGAAATATCTTGTGAAATGTTTTCACTCAGAACATCAGAAAACCTGGAAAAGTATTTTTATGTATCATGCAGCATTTTATATGATTATTATTTATGAATATGGACCTTCTTTATTTTTTCAAACTGAAGAAATTTCTTATTGCAAGCCATTAAACAAAAACAAAGCTCCCCTACCTGGTAAAGCTATCTTGTCATTTTTACAGAAAAAGAAAAAAAGAGAATTGTAAAATGCACAGTACAGTTAATTTCACAACAATACTATTTCTTTGCTTCTTTTTAGAAAAAAATACTGAGGTTCGAAGGAAAGAAAATATTGTGCAATTCTTACATTTGTGTAGTTTTACAGTCCTCAAAAAGATGTCAGAAAAATAAATAGTAACTGCAGTTGTAGCAAACACCCTGTGCAGTATTATAAATACTATTTCCTTGTGAGACAGTTTCTGGCTGCCTTATTCAAGCAAGACGTCTCATTTATTTTAGTGGAACAACTCACTGTGTTAAAATGATCAAAATTTGGGTCTATAGCCATATTCCTACCATTAACATGCTACATAGTTGAGAAGAATTCCCCTAGTGCCTAAATTCCTCTTTGTGAATGAAGTGTTGGGCAGAGATCCCTGCTCCAGGAAATTGCCAACTATGAAGTTCCTATAGTGGAGCATCCATCAAATTCCCAGTTCAAGCCCAGGAGTAGCCAAGCCACGTGTGGTGGGACAAGGCTGGGACAAAGGCTAGCTTGAATCGGTAGATTGTTGTGTCTGCATTACAGCCTGCAGGGTCATGGTCAGTGCTGATGAGCACTTACCCAACCCTGTGAGTAACCCTCACAGGGTTAGGTATGCCATTATGCCCTTAGCTGTGTCCTCATTAAGGCCTGGAGGGATTTGCTTTTCTGGTTGCCTAGAAGATCTGAAAATCAGACATGGACTCCTTAATTTCTCAGGGATACAATTACAAATACTATGTCCATTCAAATGTAAGTAATTTCATAAAACCACAAATCCCAATAAAGTAACAAAAACACTTCAAAGTTTTAAATTAGTTTATAGGCAAATTAGACACAGGTGTTGTTCACCAACAAAATACAAAGTTTTAATTTGTTTACTTTATGTAAGTAATGTAAGTTCACTTTTTCATTTGCAGATGAGTATCTTTATGCTGGAACAGCTTCTGATTTCCTTGGCAAAGACACTGCTCTAACACGTTCCCTGGGCCCTTCTCACGACCACCATTACATCAGAACTGACATTTCTGAACATTACTGGCTTACTGGTAAGATCCCAAACATATGCTGTTGTCATTTGCATTGTCCCTGCTTCTCTGAAGTTAATAGCCCCTTTCTTAAATAAATATATGCCCAGTAAGTATAAATATAGATATTGTATCATGGTATCTTTGGATTATGTAGGCTTTTTTGGAGAAAGCTCAGTGGAACAAAAATGCACTTGAGAAAAGTCAAAGGTGAAAATACTAATTAAGGAAAAAGGAGGAAAGTAGGACCTAATAGTTCTTTCCGTCTTTAATCTATACATCCGTATATAGTCCTGTAATTGGAATACTATCATGACTAAAATGCTTTTATTTCCAGTTTTGTTGGAATAATTTTTTTAAGCTTTTTTTCCGATCACTTGTTCAAAACTGTTCCCTAAAGTATATTGAAATGACAGACTGAAAGTTCAGTGTTTCTAGATAGGAGATTCTTTTTTTATTTTTTTATTTTTATTTTTTCCTTTTTAGAAGGGAAAAATACTCTTTGTTGCCATGAGGGTCATTTTAAAACCACTACAGGCACCCTAAAATAGCTTCCCAAGCAAAACACTGCTTTTCCTTGCCCGTTAAAAACATTCTGAGCTAGTAAACCCTCTAAAAAACTGGCCGCATTTACACCCAGCCAGTCTCAAACCACACACAGAGTAACATGGAAAACTTCGCTCACAGGCTAACCCTGCTCAATTAAAGCATCCCCCTTTTAGCTGTCAACTGTCTTTAAAGATGTGGCAACACTGGCCCTGTTTCAGGCTGCCTGTGTAACTATGGATGCTTTGTAAATCCAGGCCTGCTGACCACAGGGTTAAATTGTCTTCCCAGCAGACAACTTCTGAAAGGCATAATTTTGCCTTTTAACTCTTTGAGACCTCAACAAGAAGAAATGTTCTTATTATTATTTCTCTACTTCTTCTATTTCTCCACCTAAGTTCTTGCCCTATATTTCTGTCTAGCTGTGGCTCCATAACCGCCAGATTTATCCTGAGGGATGAGGAGTAAAGGAAAAGCCACTTCAAATCATTTTACCTGTGCAAATAGATGTAGTCCTGTGGACTGATAAAAGATCTCACACTTGACTCTGCTAACTTTACCTACTTTCATCTCCTGTGCTCTTCAAGTGTATGGCTCAGTACCACTCTTGTCCCACCTCTTCTCTCTCCTCCCTCTCATTTCTAAATATCCCATAGACCAGAACTGATATGTGTGCAGTATGGGTGAGCCAGCATGAGTCCATCCAGCAGGCAGTCGTCTCTAATAATTCTATCTAACATATGATTTTATCACTGGCTGCTTTCTGTTATTTAGTATGGAAAGGCAGTTAGAGTAGCTGCTTTCCTAAGGGATGTTATGATATTCCAGAAATAAAGATTTATTGGGAAGTGCTCATGAGGATCATCTGGTGTTATCATTAGTACAGATCCACCTCAATGAGCATTACAGCAGAATGAAAGAGGGCTCAGTTCCCAGCCCAAAAGAACTTACATTTTAAATATCCAGTTCCAAGCATTTCTTCATGCTATTAGTGTTTCTTCATGAGCAGTTTGAGACCAGGGAAAGTACAAGAACATTGGATAAACTAAAGGACTGAGAACTATTTGTGTTTTAATTTGGAGGCTGAGGTGAAGGTATGCCTTTCTGATAGACTGATTTTTCTTTTCATGTTTCAGAGAAGAGGAAAATCCTAGTGAACTGTTAAGGCAGGCTAGTAACAACAGACAAGGAGAAGACTGAGGTATTCAACAAATTCTTTGCCTCAGTCTTCACTAGTGACTGCTCTACATGCTCTTGTGTGGATATTTCAGAAGGTGGGATCTAGGGGAATGATGCCTCTTGCATTTTAAGTGAAGATCAGGTTTGTGACCTCCTGAGGAACCTGAACATCCATAAATCAATGGCCCTAATGAGATACATTCCAGAGTCCAGAGGGAATTGGCTGATCTAGTTGCCAAGCCACTCTTGATATTTGAAAAGTCGTGGCAGTCAGATGAGCCCCCTGGTGAATTGGTAGTATAGAACCCACTTTTGAGAAGGGTAGAAAAGATGACTGAGGGAACTACCAACCTGTCAGACTCACCTCTGTGTTAGGGAAGATAATGGAGGAGATCCTCCTGGAAGCTATGCTAAGGCACATGAAAGAGAGAGAGGGGTAATGTGGGATAATCAGCGTGTCTTCACCAAGGGAAGGTTCTGCCTAACCAACCTTGTTGTTTTTTATGATAAAGTAACTGCATCAGTGGACAAGGAAAGCGCCACTGATGTCATCTATCTGGGCTTCAGTAAGGCCTTTAAGGTGATCCCTCATAACATCCTTCTCTCCAAATTGAACATATCTGAATCTGATAGGTGGACTGTATGATGGATAAGGAACTGGTTGCAAGATCATAGCCAGAGAATGATGGTCAATGGGTCAATGTCCAGATGGAGATCTGTGACAAGTGGTGTCCTTTGGGGGTTAGTACTGAGACCAGTGCTCTTTAATATCTTCATCAGTGACATTGACAGTGCAATTGAGTGTGCCCTCAGCAAATCTGTGAGTGGCACCAAGCTGTGGGGTGTGGTCAACATGCTCAAGAGACAAGATGCCATTCGGTGAGACCTAGACAGGCTCAAGCAGTGCACCCAGGTGGTCGCATGAGGTTCAATAAATCCAAGTGCAAGCTCTTGCGCCTGGATCATGGCAACACCCACTATCTGTACAAGCTGGGAGATGTAAGAGTGGAGCACAGCTCTGCTGAAAAGGACTTTGAGGATGACAAGCTGGACATGAGCCAGCAATGTGCCCTCACAGTCCAGAAAGCCAACTGTATCCTGGGCTGCATCAAAAGAAGCGTGGCCAGCAGGGTGAGGGAGGTGATCCTGCTCCTCTGCTCTGTGCTGGTGAGGCCTCACCTGGACTACTGCATCCTCAGTACAGGAGAGATGTGAACCTGTTGGAGTGCATCCAGAGAAGAGCCACAAAAATGTTCCCAGGGATGGAAAACCTCTCCTGTGAGGACAGGCTGGGAGAAAACCGCGGGTGAGGCCTGAAAGAGGCCTTTCAGTATCTAAAGAGGGGCTACAAGAAGGAAGGGGATAAACTCTTTAGCAGGGTCCGTTGTGATAACACAAGGGGAAATTGTTTCAAAATAAAAGGAGAGAGAGACTTACATTGAAATAAGGAAAAAGTTTTATACAGTAATGGTGGTGAGACACTGGAATAGGTTACCCAGAGATGTGGTGGATCCTGTGTTCTTGGGGACGTTCAGGGTCAGGCTGGATCAGGCTCTCAGCAAGCTGATCTAGCTGTGGATGTCCCCATTCACTGAAGGGGAGTTGGACTAGATGACTTTTAAAGGTACTTTCAACTGAAAAGATTTGATGATTCATTCTGTTTTCACTTAAAGTGCTTGAATCTGTGACAGTTTTTTAGGGAGTGTAATATATTCTTATGTCTAGGCTTGAAAAACAGTTTCACTTTAATAGATTGTAATGTCAAAATTATCCTGTGCTGAAGACCCCATATATTCTTCAGGTGTAACCTGTTTCCAGCCATATAAAATCTACAACCACTCTCTGTCTAAAACTTCTTATACACAAACTAGGCAATGTTATACTACAAGGCATGGATATAAATTGGTTGCTTTTAATATTTTTAAATGGTCTTATTTGGAGAAAATGTTGATTGCAATACTAAATGATGGGATCAGTTCTGCAGTAAGCCATAGGGCAGCCAGTTTATTGTGTAGCATTACCAATTTCATACACTTTCTGCTTTCAGCTGGTATTGGTGTAAAGAAAATATTTACTTGATTTTGGTTTTAAAACTTTCACCTCATCTAAATCCTTTTTCGCTAAAAATACCACCCATTGACCAAGCATATGTTAGACCTCCAGGAAAAGTTGTACATACTTGAGTAATTGTACAATTATAAATAAATTATTTCTAGGCATGACTTGTGTTTTACTTAGGATAAGGATAAAATGTGTAAGTTTTTTGTTTTTTTTTTTTTTTTTTTTCCAGTGGGCTGTGGAAGTTTTGCTATAATGCACCTTAATTTTTTAAAAGTTTTGTCTTTATTCCATTTTTGGAAACAAGATTATTCTTTTCTGGGGGAAAGGAGGAAAAGACAAAGCACAAGGGAAAAATGTGTAGGATACCTCCCAGTTCCTTGCAGGGCATCTCTATCTTAACTAATTAAGACATGTCTTAATCTCAATGACTGAATAGCTTCTCTACAAAGGAGAAAGGGAGGAAGGCAGCTAATCTTTCCCATGACTCATGCTTACACAACTCGTAGTCCTGCTCACTGTGGCCCTGAAGGATGCTGCCTCTGCTCAGATTTCATCACGCAGGGCTGGAGAATCTGTTGGCTGGAGAAGCCTGTCCCAGATCTGGGACACTGGGTTAGATGTGTGGGACTGGAGTCCTGCTCTGGAAGGCAAAGCCACCCTCTGGAACTGCATGCCTGCCTCCAGCTGTGACAGCAGGGTACCAGACATAAAGACATCCAGCTGCACATTCCTCTCTCCTTGATAGGAAGCTAAAATCTTAGTTAGGATGAGTGTTCCTCTGCATTCGTTAATCTTTTTGGGGTTTTGGGGGGAAATCTGTTTGTTTGTTTGCTTGATTGTTGTTATTATTTTTTTTAATTTTATTTCAACTGAATCAACTTTGTCAGGGATGGATACTTGCAGACAGTGACTTCTTTACGTCCTGAGTGCTTTGGCTTGGATTCAGCTCACTGAACTTTACAAAGGCAAAAGCTACATCCCATCTGAGCTCAGCCATTTCCGTTCTTTGCCTGCAATTTACAGACAGAGGTGACATTCACTCCACCTATTGTAGGAATCTGTCCTAAAATAAGATTCTTTATTACCACTTTCCTACTTTTCCCTTTCTGTTCTTCCCTGAGAGTGGAGTTGGATGAGTTTAGGTTAGAAGTTTGGCTTATAGAGGGTTAAAGGAAAATAAGGTGAGCACTGTCCTTTGTGTCTTATAATGCCCTGTACTTCTGGCAGCCCAGCTGCAAAGAGCTGCTGCAGAAAGTCTCCAACTGTTCTAAGTATCTTTTCCCATTCTTTATGTTCTGGGATTTGCTGCTCATTTGCTGTCCTCTCTTTCCAGACCTAAGGAATCTTCTCTGGAGGTATTATTAAAGTGCTGTCTAAAACTATTGCTAATGTTAGAAAGGTGAAATAGCAGGCAGATAACTCAAAGCAAATGGAATCAGCCCTGGGGAACAGCCATAAAGGACCAGGTGTAGCAGCTATTCCCACTAGGCCACAGGAGCATATTTAAAGGGCATGAATAACACCTGAATTTATGGTAGCTTCTTTCTAAAAGCTCCTGATGCCTTTAATACCCTCTTTGGTTACATACTGTCTAGCCATGAAATTAATATGCAGGAAAACTGTCTATTGAAGTAATTAAAAAGAGACAGTGGTGTATACAGGAAAACAAATACTGATTTAAAATGATCATCATATAATTTGTTTCCCATGCAAAGAATCCAAAAACCTAATTCACAATTGATTTAAACTTGCTTGTCTATGTTATATGGACAGATTACAAGAGATGAGACAAAGATGTCAATTGCAGAACGTAATGTGCTTTTCAGTTCATGATCTCTTTTATTAAATTGTTTTCAATCTCTTTCTCTTCATATCTTTTACAGTATATTTTTGTTTGGATTTTACTTTCAACATCAGTGTTCTCCATTGTGATTTAAAATCATTAAATATTTGTGTTCCTTTAATTTGTTAGAGATTCTTCTAAATCTGTTCCAGGAATTGGTATTGAGACATTTGTTTTTGCATTTGGCATGCCAAGTAAAGCAGTGAACTTTTTTTTTTTTTTTTTTCCTTAAAAAACATATATACAGGGTTTTATTCCATGAATGAAGATTAAAAACATCATCAACAACAACAACAACAAAAACTATGTGAAATTCAAATGAATGCTGCAGTAGTATTTCACAGGTTTTTATATTAAATGGTTATTTAAACTAACTGCATAGTTTAGAAACCTTATTGGAAGTGTATTTATTGTATTTTTTCATACTTAGAGATCTAATCTTCAAAGTAGCTTTAAAGACCCCGAGGAGTAATTGAATATTTGCTTTAGGCTCATTTTGAAATCCTCACTTAAATTTATAGGGCCTGATGCCTCCATCATTTCATTTTTCTGCTGGCGCCATTCTATATTGTCAGAATGTTTTAAAATGGAAGCAGCATTGTGGCTGTTCTGACTCATAAATTTACTCTTCTATTATGAAGGTACATATTCAGCACTTAAACACATCACATTTTGTCACAAATCTTTGCAGACTTGAATCAATGACCCTATTTTTGTCCTGCGTGTACCATAGTGTATATTGTGTAAACTCCTTAAAGCTAATATGAAGAGGTAATAATTAGAAAAAGGGTAAAAGCATAAAAATAGAATAAAAGATGATAATAGTACTCCCCACAAATCACCAATGTGTTCTGTTTGCTCTACCATCTTACTCAATCCTCCTTACTGCTTTCTATTGCAGCCTTCCCACTTATAAGGGATTTTACATTATTGCCAAAAGAATGTATTTTGGAGTCAAGGGTCTCTTTGTACTGTATTTGCATAGCCACTTCTATTTAAAGAAAAACATAATTGATCCAAGGGCCCTCAAAAGAGCTCATGTATTGTAGCACGCTAGGGAATGTCTTAAAAGTAATTTCCCCAACTATTGGCATGACTTAAGCCACACAGTGTGGTTGCCTGCTCTGCTGTAGTGTATGGGACCAATGGAATTTGTTTAATTTCTGATTTTAGTGCAGAATAACAAGTAAAAAAAAAACAAAAAACAAAAAACAAAACAAAACAAAAACAACAACAAAAAACACTGAGCAAGGACTGGAGTTCACAAATGAGAGCTAAGTAAGATAGTGAAGAATATGGGTGAAAGTCTAGGCCCAATAATGACACCTATGAGATGCAGGCCGAAATAGCCAGTCTCACTTTGGTTGAGATTAGAAGTAATATAACTGCCTAGCATTCCTTGCAAAAAGTGGATTTAAATGGCCCAAACAGAATATCATAGAATCACAGGATGGCTGATGTTGGCAGAGATCTCTGGGTCCACGTGATCGAATCCCTGCTAAAACAGGGATACCCAGATCAGGATGCCCAGGGCCACATCCAGGCAGCTTTTGGAGATCTCCAAGAAGAGTCCACTGCCTCCCCCAGCAACCCTTTCCCAAGTTGCTATAGCCTTTGTGTGTTGATGCAAAACAAGGAGTTATCTCCTTAAGACTGATCAGTGAGTTGTGGAGTTTTCTGTGTTATTCTGGGAATCCCAGCAAGATACTGTGTTGAATTTTGTAGATGTAGTCAGTAAGATTGCTTAAAAACAGGTATGTGGGAAATTTTTAAATTTGGAAATCTGTTGTTTATATTTGAATTTTTCATCCTGTGGTCAGAGTTCTTTGAATCATTTGCAAGCTATTTCTAGTAAACAGTACTGTATTTCTGTACTCATAACTGCTTCAATGTGTAGTGAAATTAACTGAAACTCCACCATGCAGTTTGGGAAAAAACACTTAAGTTGATGTTGATGACAAGAGCATTAAGGCAGATATTTGCAGTCACTGCACTGAAAGTCATCTTATTTTCAAAGAGGGGGCAATGGCCGATGCTATATATTTATGTAAGTAGTAGTAAACAATGTACACAAAAATATCAGACTAAGAGTAAATACTTCATGATCCATAGTGATTTTCTCTCAGTTAGTGGCAAACTTGCCACCATGTGTCTATATAAGGATGTTTTTTATTTCAATGGAAAATGCAGCCTAAATGTAGATACTGAAGAAGAATTTTAGTATGAAGACTTTTCATCACATTTTTTAAATCCTTTCTTTTTTGGAAATTCCAGGAGCAAAATTCATTGCAACTTTTCCCATCCCGGACACCTATAATCCAGATGATGACAAAATCTACTTCTTTTTCCGAGAAATATCACAAGATAGTAGCACCTCTGACAAGACAATTCTTTCTCGAGTTGGGAGAGTTTGTAAGGTGAGATCTCTGTCTTTTATTCTTTTTAAAATAATGTTCATTATTAGGAAAAGAGTTGGGTTTGAGCCATCCTGGCTGTGTGTATTTTAGAAAAGCTATTATGTTTAAAAATGAAAATCCCGTGTCTAAATGATAGCGTATTGACCTTTGGATGTGCAGCAGTGACCTGCTTTGTTTCATAAGCTTTCAGTAAGAATTGACTTGTTGACATATATACAATGCCAAGGTACTTGGATTTTTGTGAAAAGTGCTCAGTGAATGAAGAGGAATACAAACCCATCCCTTCCACATAGATCAGTACAGCGCATTACTGAGTGCTGAGATCATTCATTTGTTTCTGAGCATTCCTGATAATCAGTTGGGATGGGATTGGCTAAAAAAATACAGTTTCTGAGCTATATCCACACCCACCTGGAGGTTTCCTGCCCTGTGAAGAAGTGTGGTCTTTGACCTGTTTACCAGCAGGGTCCAGGAGCTGGCTCTGCTGCCGTGTAAAAAGACTTGTTTGGTTGGTGCCCAGTCTCCTTTAAAAGACAGCTCTCTTCATTTTTCCTTTTGTTATGTTGGTTTTGCTCCTTATGAAAGATTTCTGCCCCTATGGAACACAGAATGCTGATTTTTACTATGAGCTTCATTCATTTTGAAGGACCACCTCTGTCAAAGGCAGAAGCCTCTTCAAATTGTAATGAGAAGATAAACCAGTTCCTGTCATAGGAAGACAGTCAGTAAATAGTTTGTGGTTTAACAGCCTGCTGATTTTGCTAATGTCTTCTTCCCATTATAGTGAAACGGTCTATTGACTTCTGTGACAGACATACTGTCTAACCTCTCCTTTATCCCATATTCCTGTAGGAAGACATGCAATCAGGGTAGATACTTCCATCCTGTCCTTAAATCTCAGTAAACCAGGTACCCAGGAATCACTGGCAAAAGTCGGGAAAATGAGACTTATTTTTTTTTCTTTGTATTATTAAACATAAGCTTTGAGCAAATGTTTCTCATGTAATGAGCTAGATATTTACAACACCATCATAGTAATCACATAAGCAGGTACATATATGTAATATTTTGTTCAGTTGTCCTCATTTACTTGCATTTCCTGAGCAAATGATTCTAATGGCTGTGAAAATGATCTTTCCAAAGAGAAGCTTGAAAGCTAGTAAATAAACAGAAGAGTTTGTCATTTGCAGTAGGATACATCTAAGAGAAAGGCATCCAGAAAGCCAATGGACACACATTTAAAACAGAAAGCCGACGTGTGCGTGAATATGTAAATCTATGGCTATTCTGCAGACCAGCAAACTCCTGTCAATCGAAATTTCAGTGACCAGAGCCATTTCACACTTCTGTCCTTGACCTATAGTGTTAAGAAAACAAAAATACTCATTCATAAATCAGTTCTCTAGTAGGGTTTTAGGCAGATAGTTGGATATTTCACTGCAGTGTGATTAATGGCAGAATAGAAATGCAAACACATATGATTTGCTGCTAGACATGGCATTTGCTGATAATGAGAGAGCACTTAATCCATTAAGAAAAATTAGTAGACAGCAACTTTCAAGAGAAGGCACATGGGAGATTTTATTAAACAAAGATATGTTAGTTAAAGTTCTGTATCCTTTACCTAGAGAAAAAGCAGATGTGGTATCATAATAAAAGCAAAAGTATTGTAAGGAAATCCTAATGACACTGTGTAGTCATACCTTGAATTAAATTTAATTTGTAGAGTGGTCATGTTAAGTAGAAATAAATTGTCTTGAATTTTATTTTTGGTAGTCAAGACCGGTAAGTAAGGTTATTTATTACTATTAATGCCCTATTTACATTGTCTTCTTTATTTATTGAGTACTTCCTTGTGGATGAAGAGTTCTACTGAAAATTTAGACACCTGCATTTTTATACATTTCTCTTGATTACTTTGCAAATAATGCAAATTATTATTGTGCAAATAAAGTTTTAAATTTAATATAAATTAAAATATGCAACTAAACTGCTTGCAGACTGAGATTTTTTTTAATCTGTGGTCTTCTGTGACACCTCTGCTATTCTTAATTCTCTCAAGTAGAGAATTGATGTATTTGGTTACAATGACAGATGACAATTTCTACTTGCCATGTCTCATAAATGTGATCTGTGCTGCAAAATGTTAAACCTTCTTTCCCTAGCAAGCATAGAATAACAGTGAAGGGTAGAAAACCAGCAACTTTTAAAATAATTGGCATAGTGTATCCCCAATTTCTTTCTACCGGAGCTCAATTTCTTTCTACCTCATCGTGCCTTAGGTCTCCTGTACGTTTATGCCAGAGTTACAAGCTGAAATTAGAATAAACTTTGTTTTTAATAAGGAGGTTGGTCAGTGCGGCCTATTCTTTGGCTAATTGTCAGTGACTCAACAATATGGTCTCTCACTGATCCACCCCCTTAGGGAAAATCTTCTTTGGAAAGCAGTCCCTTTTCCCAGCTACTTACAGTCTCAGAAAATTTCATTACTTTCACTGGGAGCTCTTTGCCCAGAGTCCCACAGCTGTCACTTGTCCTGTTCATAAGACCACGCTTATACCGTCTCAAAACATATGTTGTAATAACACAGCCACTGTAGCACTAAATAGAACTAGCTTAGATTTATGTCATCTGTGTTCTATGCATCACCAGGGGATATCAATATGAACTGGGAGGCAGTGCTTTCAACAGTGATATTAAGAGCCAGTTGTGTAATTTATCATGGCAAATAGCATTTCTATTTTTGTTTTGACGGAGGTGGAAAATGTATAATTGACTTACCTAATACCTGTTACTGCTTATAGCAAGTTTCTTCTTGCCTCTTATAGGAAATTCCTTCTTATAGCATGTGTTATGTGTTGGGATATTTTCTTTCTTTTCAAGCAAGGTCAAAAGTGAAGAGAGAGAATGACTACTAAAAATTTGCCAGTGGTGTGCATCTGCTTTTTGAAACATGAACAGATACACAGGTACATATAACATACATTATCCCAAACAGCTTCTTAAGAGCATGAGCCCATCAATTTCCATTGCTAGAATCATGGTTGCAAGCTGTTACATCTACATTGTCTTGATGTACTGCTGAACAAGCTTGCATAAGCTAAAGATATGTCACAGAGATTACATGCACTGAGACGGCTTTTGAAAACAGAATGTAGCATCTATGCACTGTGTCCTTCACTGTCAAACAACATCAGCTATATTTTAGAATACGTGTCTACCACAAAATGATGACAGTACTGTAATTGTATTTAAGGGCAACATCATATATGCATAATAAGAGATTATTGGATTTCTTTTTTTTTTTTTTCTTCTCTATAACATAAATTTTTTTCATAGTTGAAACCTCATTCTATTGGAATGGAGTGAAATATTAGCCAAAAGCAGTAGTCTTTCTGCTACAGTGTGAGAATACTGTTTATTATTACAGCTCTGTATTTGCTGAGCTACAATCTTCTCTTTAACAGCTTTGGTAATGTATTGAAAAAGTTGCTGCACACAGTCTCAGAGTCTGATTTCCAAGAGACGTCAACTGCCAAGAAATCAGCCTGCAGCCCCTTATGTGTTCCCATGTTTCTCAAACCGTTCAGCATCCAGAAGCGTCCTTTGTTCTAGTGGGAACAAATGAACTCTTTGTCTTTTTTTCCCCCCCCTTCATTCCACCCTCTCATATACCAAACTGTACCTGGGGATGAGAATATAGCAATTAGGCACAGCCCTCTTGGTTAAACTGTGTTTTCTAAAGGCACTGGAATGTAATCATTTTAAGCACTCCTGAGTCGAGAGTGAAGGACACACCCTGCATTCCACCTTAGAGTAATGTGATTTATTTCCAAAGCCATGAACACGAGCAGAGTTCAAGGCCACGACCTTGCCTCTTGTCTGGTGCTTGAAGGCAATTTGTATTCCTGGAGTGGCAGCAGGGAGTTATTCTGCCGCATGTCTGAATGTAGGGTCTCCGGTGGGCTATGCTGTAGGACTGCTGGTGTGTAAAAGTAGGGCGGTGTTTTTCTTGTCCTGGAAATGGTCTAGCCATGCCTTTGCTGTGACTGGAGGTAACTGGCTCATTAACATTCTTTGTATTTCTATATCGTGTAATGCATCACTGTGCAGATAATTGATCTCTCTCCAAAAAGCATTTGAGTTGTCCGCATAGTGTAACGCTTTACTGTTCAGTAATATTAGCTTGGGTACCGGAAGCGAAATAGCCATGTTAACATGTTCTCAGCAGGGCTAATTAGTCTGGGCTCAGTGCCACGCTCGTGCAGCTATCCTGCTTCCAGTTCTGGAGGCAACTCATTCCAGACGAGATTTAACTTACTGCCTGTTACATGCTTACATACTTCCTTCATCACCGTAATATTGCCTAGCCACAATGCTAACCATGGTTGGTTTTAATTTATTTATATATATATATTTAGCACATATATATATATACACACATATATATATAATCATGATTAAAACCATTTAGAAAATGTCATCCCTAAGAAAACTTTGGCCCTCGTTTGCCAACTGGGCATCTTTGCAGCTGTGGATCCTTCATCAGCAGCTCCTCTTCGACTCCTAAGCTTGGCAATTTAATATTATATGCTGCCTGAAAGTTTTCAAATGTTGTAGAAAAGCAGATGCTCATCGAGATGATTTCATTTTGAGGTCTGATGTGTTGGAAATAGCCCAGATCCATACAGTATTTGTTTCTAGCTGTGATGAATTATGAGATGTAACAGCAAGCTATGTCAGGTCTTTTGGTCTTGGGTGTGTCTCAACGTTGTAATTGGCCTTTTTTTTTTTT